ATATAAAACTTATCCTCAATACTTTTCTTCGAAAAATAATGTGAGTTCCACAAAAAAACTATAGTTCTAATTGTTTTCAGAAGATTACTTCTTGTGCGTATAGAAATTGATAGAAAAGAACTTCATTATTTACTATTAAAAGTTCAGAGCGAGAACTAGCATCGAATTTCGTTACTTTTTGCTTTAGGATTGGAAATTTTTTATTCTCTTCTTTTTCTTTTTTTCTTCGCTTCTTTTTCTTTTTTTATTCTTTTCTTTTTCTTTTTTTATTTTCTTCTTTTTCTATTTTTATTCTCTTCTTTTTCTTTTTTCTGTTGATTGAATAACGTTTATTCATATTGCTTGATGAGCAGGAATTCTCCGGTAGAAAGTCTTCACTTTTTTCCCTTTTGATATAACGGAAAAGAAATAACATAGTTACTTTATTTTTTCTTCTAGTAAATCACTTGATCCAATAAAATATTTATAATCATGTCTCAACAAAATGTTGATAAAACAAACAATCGATTTGCAACCTGCACTTTTGCTGAATTTCAAGAAGCAAATGGCAATCCAATATTTGGGTACGAACATGTGCCTGTGAAATCACTAGAAGATGCAGTAAAAGGTGTCGTCCATATCGTGCCTAAAGTGGAAGAATATGTCAATGAAGCCATGGAAAACCGTAAAAAAAATACACATTTAACAAGAGATGAATCAGCATCAATCTATCTTTACACAATGCCGGTGAACTTCTTCGAGCATCTTAACAAAGACCTTCGTTGCAAGAATCGAAAAGATTTGGAACCATGGTTCGACTTCTTGAATTTATTCATAACTGCTTTGAAAAAATTACCACCATGTACAATATCCGTGATATGGCGAGGCGTTGGAGACAGTTTAGGAGAAGAGTTTGTTGGAGGTACCGAACACACTTGGTGGAGCATAAATTCCTGTTCATCTAATCAGAATGCAGCGAGATGTTTTGCTGATTTTAAGGGCACTCTGTTTTCGATTCACGCAATCAATGGTAAAGACATTAGTTCGTATTCTAAAAATCCACAAGAAAAAGAAATAGTTCTTATGCCTGGTACTCGCTTGCGTGTCAAATCTGCATGGTCTTCTGCTCTTTCCACGATTGTTTTGGAAGAATGGTGAGTCTACTGGCAATATGTTTTACTTCTAATCAAGACAGATATTCCAAAAGCCAAATTCTTCAAATACCTAAGATAATGTCTCGTAAAAAGAAGAGGTTATGTTCTATGTATTTACATTTAAATACGGATGTTCGAATAGACGATCTGAAGAATATCTCAGTAAATACATAGCGATGCAAAATATATAATAAGTTGAACGTATAAAATAAATTCATCCGTATGTCGAATATTTTCTACAAAGTATCTTATCAGTGAATGCAGACATGAAAAAGCATTGTTTTACAGCTATATTTGTTACAATTTTATTATTTAGAAGCGTTTAATTTTCATCTTTTAGTACTGTGATTCCTACTGGACAACACATCATGTTATCTTATAATATCAATGATAAAGAAATCGTATTTCAAATTTACGACTTTTTACGAAATCAAGAGATGCCAGTTTGGATCAACCGATCAGAAAATGTCACCGCAGATAGCCTACACGATAGGTACGTGTTTCAAATTATATATTCTGTCTCTCTACATTCTTTCTTTCAACTGCATTATTCTTTTAGTTTGGCTAATGGAGTAGAGAACGCTGCAGCAGTTTTTTGTTTTTTAACGCCAGATTATGAAAGGTCGCCAGTTTGTAAACTTGAACTACAGTATGCACATAAACGGAGAAAACTAATTATCCCGTGTTTGTTCGACGACAAGAAATTCTGGGAAGATTCTTCTTGGCTCATGTCAATAGTTGAATCTGTTAAGGATTTTATTATCAATGAAATCCAGGAGATGAACAAAATGTATTTAGAGAATTGGATCAGTTATTTGAACAAGGAACGTTCTTCATCGAAGCACATCTCAACAGAATCAGTTGGTCCACCAAATTATCTTTTCGAATTAATTAAATACAAATATCTATGTGACAACAAAATGGAACGCTTCATGAATCCATCGAAAACGTTTCCAATCGAGCAGAGTTATGTCAATTTGGCTATAGTAGAAACGAAAGAAAGTCAACAAAAAGAAAAAGAACTTCGTAATACTCACAGTATCGATGCAATATTGGAGACTTATGAAAATATTCATGGAAGTAAAACTCCTATCGATATCAAAGATATTTTCCAAAAATGCAAAGATCAGAACAGAAAGATCTTAGTATCTGGTCGTGCTGGTATTGGAAAATCAACATTTTGTCGCTATGCTGCTTATCAATGGGCAACTGGTGCAATATGGTCAGAATATGAACTGGTTGTAGTCGTTCCTCTACGATCTCTAGTAGGACCTAAATATCGACATAACAAAGAATATTCTTTCATCGACATTTTGATGAATCAATATTTCTCTGATCCATCCCGGTCAGATGAACAAAAGAATAAGCTTGTAGAAAAGCTTGTAGAACAGATTCGTAGAAGTAAAATTCTGTGGCTATTGGATGGTTATGATGAAATAGCACAAGACCAACCTGAACATCTCCAAATCTTACTTGAACAGCTGCTCAAAACTCCGCATCACATCATTACATCTCGTCCATATATGAATACTTTATCATACTCTGTACAAATGGAAATTACAGGTTTTACCGATGAAAATATCCGAAACTATGTCAAACAATTCTTCAGTCAATTAGGGCATGAGACACAAAACTCATCGGAACAAGATGAGAAGTTGCTGAACTTCTTGAAAGGAAATCCGAAGATTTGGGGTATTGGACATATTCCAATCAATCTTGAACTTATTTGTACTATTTGGGGTGATACTAACTGGCAAGAAAGTGAAATAGTAACAATCACAAGACTATATAATAAAATTACAGTATGGTTATGTCGACGATATATGAAAAGAGGAAACAAAGATATCCAAATAATAGATGACCATATTCTTCGAGCTTGTGGTAAACCGCTGCAATTTTTAGAAATATTAGCATTTAAAGGAATGGAGAACAACAACATTATTCTAAGTCCAAGACTACTGAAAAACGTTTTCACAGAGACAGACTGCTCAGAGCCCTTTGCCAATATACTCAACATTGGTATATTAAAATCATCCGATGGTCACAAGTTAACTGGCACTCAAATCGAAGTAGAAAAAGATCATTACTTTATTCATCTCAGTTTTCAAGAATATTTTGCAGCACGATATTTATTGAGAACATTGAAGAATGAAGATCAGAATCAGAAGAAAAAAGCAATCACACTCATCCAGTCACTAAAATATAATCAACGCTTTGAGTTAGTTTTCACTTTTCTATCTGGTCTTCTCTTTGATGACAATGATCAACAATCAATGAATTTATTCTGGAGAACATTGATGGAAGAACCATTAGATATCGTTGGTTTCAGACATATGCAGATTGTTATTACGTGCTTAGAAGCGACTGGCTGTGACGAAAGCATTCCATACTTTGATGAGCTAATTCATTCAATAATCCAACGGATCGAATATCATATAACTGCGCAATACTATGGTTCAAATCATTTATTCTTACCATTACTCAAAAGAAGTCCCTCATTAGTAAATCAATCAGAAATAGTTGATTTATTTATACGGTTGTACGACGCTCGAAATACTTACCAAAGACGCACACTATATTCATTTATTAGGGATTTACCGATTTCTAATGCATGCTCAGAGTGGATTGACTTTCATTCAAAGGTACTCATCGATGGTGATCTGGATCTTAGTGAGAATGCTTGCCGAGTGTTTGAAAACATGCACCCAGACGCATTATCCGCTCAAGTAATCGATACGCTTTTTAAATTCTCTTATGGTACAAGCGAGAACATCCGATACATTCCGGGCGATGAGTATTCAAACAGATATCGACATGATAGCGAGAGACAAATGCATTTGGAATATAACCTCCGACGTACCGTACGCAATGTCCTCATGGAAATCATAAGCCGTGACAAAGGGAATGAAACCATCAATAGAATTATAACACGAATTCATGATATGGACGCTCCTCTAAAAATTGGTACGAATGCGCTTCTCCGAGAGCTAGGCAAAATAGCAGCAACTGATGAAGTAATTCAGAAGCTCTTAGTTTTACTGGATGACAAGGATTGGAATGTCAGAGAATCTGCGTGCTGGACTCTTCAGAAAATGGGTGAAAAAGCAGCAACTGGCGAATTCATTCAGAAGCTCTTAGTTTTACTTGATGATAACGAATCGCGTGTCAGAGAATGTGCATCCCAGACTCTCGAGAAAATGGGTGAAAAAGCAGCAACTAATGAAGTAATTCAGAAGCTCTTAGATTTACTTGGTGACAACAATGAGTATGTCAGAGTATCTGCGTACAAGGCTCTCGAGAAAATGGGTGAAAAAGCAGCAACTAAGGAAGTAGTTCAGAAGCTCTTAGTTTTACTGGATGACAAGGATTGGAATGTCAGAGAATTTGCGTGCTGGACTCTTAAGGAAATGGGTGAAAAAGCAGCAACTAATGAAGTGATCCAGAAGCTCTTACTTTTACTTGGTGATAAGGAATCGCGCGTCAGAGAATATGCATGCAAGACTCTCGCGAAAATGGGTGAAAAAGCAGCAACTAATGAAGTAATTCAGAAGCTCTTAGTTTTACTGGATGACAAGGATTGGAATGTCAGAGAATTTGCGTGCAAGACTCTCGAGAAAATGGGTGAAAAAGCAGCAACTAATGAAGTAGTTCAGAAGCTCTTAGTTTTACTTGGTGATAAGGAATCGCGTGTCAGAGAATCTGCGTGCCGGACTCTCGAGAAAATGGATGAAAAAGCAGCAACTAATGAAGTAGTTCAGAAGCTCTTACTTTTACTGGGTGACGAGGATAGGGATGTCAGAGAATGTGCATGCCAGACTCTCCAGAAAATGGGTGAAAAAGCAGCAACTAATGAAGTAGTTCAGAAGCTCTTACTTTTACTTGGTGATAAGGAATCGCGCGTCAGAGAATTTGCGTGCAAGACTCTCGAGAAAATGGGTGAAAAAGCAGCAACTAATGAAGTAATTCAGAAGCTCTTAGTTTTACTGGATGACAAGCATTGGTATGTCAAAGGATCTGCGTGCAAGACTCTCCAGAAAATGGGTGAAAAAGCAGCAACTAATGAAGTAATTCAGAAGCTCTCAGATTTACTTTGTGACAACAGTGAGTATAGCAGAGAATGTGCATGCAAGACTCTCGGGAAAATGGGTGAAAAAGCAGCAACTAATGAAGTAATTCAGAAGCTCTTACTTTTACTTGGTGATAAGGAATCGCGTGTCAGAGAATGTACATGCAAGACTCTCGAGAAAATGGGTGAAAAAGCAGCAACTAAGGAAATAATTAAGATGCTCTTACTTTTACTTGGTGATACATCGCGTGTCGCAGAATCTGCGTGCCGGACTCTTAAGGAAATGGGTGAGAAAACAGCAACTAATGAAGTAATTCAGAAGCTCTCAGATTTACTTTGTGACAACAGTGAGTATGTCAGAGGACGTGCATGCAAGACTCTCGAGAAAATGGGTGAAAAAGCAGCAACTAATGAAGTAATTCAGAAGCTCTCTATTTTACTGGATGACAAGGAACGCGATGTCAGACGATCTGCTTGCTGCACTCTCCAGAAAATGGGTGAAAAAGCAGTAACTCGTGAAGTAATTCAGAAGCTCTCTATTTTACTTTGTGACAAGGATAAGTATGTCAGACTATCTGCGCGTCAGACTCTTGCCGTAATTGGTGAAAAAGCAGAAACCGATGTAATAATTAAGAACCTTTTAATCCTGTTTCATGAGAATGAAGATGCTAAGGTCAGACTTGGCGCATTTGAGAGTCTCGCAGAAATTGGTGAGAAAGCAATGACCAAAGAAGTGATAGGAACATTTTTGGATGTATGTGTAGATCATGAAAACGTCAACAAAGACGAGATAAAATCTCTCATTGAAAAGATTTTTCGATTCTCCCCATCCTTACTAGATTTGCAGGAGGAATCTAGAGTTAAGAAACTGTCAATGTGCGTTCAGAAGATGGACTCTCTGATTTTGAAGCATAGTTCTCTACATGAATTTGTTGTGTTTTTTTTGAGAACAAAGATGGTATCTTGGCTACCCATTATTAAGAAATTATTTATAGATCATGAATATGGTATGACTGTTACGGATAGTACTATTTCAGTTTATGGTAATAAAGAACCAATTAGGTTAGAATACGATGAAAGTGAACTCGGTGACCGACTAGTGGAATTTTTTAAGGATTGGGAAGGTTATAAATGGCCAAAAAAGAATCTGTAGTTGAAACGAAAAAAATATAAGGAATAAGTTGTTAAATAAGTCTTCTCAAGCTTTCAGCGCGACCATTACATTTAATAGTCTTCCAACCTTTTTTTGATTTATGTATAGAAATAGATTTGCTAGCAGATTTGAGATCGCATTAATCATCTTCTACATCCTATTCTACTCTACATAAGTATATGACTGTGTCGTTTTCGACGGTAGTAACATCTTCTAAAACTAATATTTTTCCTCTTTTTCATCAATATCACTTTTGCCATACCATATGGTGTTACAATTGTTTTTTCTTTTATCTACTTTACCTTATAGTTTTTCTGTACTTGTTTTTTTTGTCATTAATATGTACACTCCAGCAGTTATTTCTTTTCCGATTTTTACGCTGTCGTGTGCCTTGTTTTCTCCTTCATGTATAGTTTCCAAAAATAAGATTTTATGCCTTTTTTTTGTTTCACTGCTGTAATGCTTTCTACAATAAAACCATTACTACTCACACTCACAAAATGTTCTATAGTTAAATATCTATTATAGAATGTCAAAAACAAATAGATAATAATGAATTGTGGGCTTCAAAATTACTTTTTCCAATTTTAGAATGGATTGTTTATTTTTAGTGTACTAATGGAAATATCCAATTTAGTTTTTGATGAATACAATCGAATAGTAATAACACCATGTGAAATATTGAGATAATCAAACATTTAAATAAGCTTTTGTTAACTTCTGAAAGAAAAATGATCTTCAACACACACATTACTATTTAAATAATCGAGAAATTACAGACGATAATGTTCATTTGATGACGGGATGGTCAATTTTTTTTACATACGTGTTTGAAAGTTCGAGTGATTATTGACATGGAACTATTAGATTTCTTGTTGAAATTGGCTGTGATAGGAATACAAAAAATTCAAATGGAGAAAGTATTTTCATCCAGTACAATCAAATCGAAATGAAAATCTTTTACCAAAATTATTAGATCATAAAATTGTACGAATTAATAATGTATCGAGATAAATAGAAATATTTTAAAAAGGAGAAGCAAATTGTGGCCATGAATCGTGAAACAATCAGTTGATGGACAGGGAAAAATATGAAGAAATCTTTCCTTTTGTATAATCAATTGGAGAAATTCGGATAAAAGTGATTTTCAATAGTTACTTAAGAATTCCAATTTTTTTCGCTCGATTTGAAAATTTATTTTGAAATTTTGAAAAAAATAAAGGTTTTCTTTCAAGTTACATAATAAATAAATACAACAGACATTCGATCTGATATTTGTTGCTTCACTCCATCAGCTCGTTATTCAATGATTAGAAAGATTTGCCGCACAAATCTGACTATAATCATCTACAATTCACTATTATCGTTTTGTTTTCATTTTTTGACGTTTACTTCGAATATTGGATTTCGACTGTTGCTTTTTAAAAAGTGAAATCATTTTCAGTATCTTATAACTAAAAGCTTTCCTCTGGTCTAAAACACTATGGTGAAACTCATTTGTTGTCGTCATTTCGATTGGTATTTGTCATTATTCATCAAGATTAAATCATTCTTTTAACTTCAGAAATATTAACATTCAGAACGAGAGTGTGGGAAATTGATGATGGCTGAACATAAAAATACACGAAAAGTCACTATAGAACAGTGGTAACATCACGGTTTGTCGGCCTGTGCAAACCAGGGTGTAATATTCTGAATTGAAGAATTACTTCTTTTTTTCCTCACATTCCCATCATCATTAATTCGAGTCTCGTAAGAAAATAATGTATAAGTGAGATATGTATACGCAATGAAAAAGGTTTGATTCTTCTGTACAAAGAATACATTGAGCATACCATTGAAAATGCTTTATGTACATAAGAAATAGTGTTTAAGCAAAGGAATTTGTTAGATCAATTTCTGTCACACCGTTGTAGAATTGCGAGACGAATGACTTATACTATTTACTGTAAAACTTTGAGCAAAAGCTATTAATTAATAGATCAATGCCAAAAATAATACAATTGAAAGTATTTACGCGCATAATTAATCGTTCTGAACCCTTGAGTGGAGATTAATAATTAATGGATGAATAGATTCATGTTGTTTGTAAAGCTTTGCATCAATTTATTTCGTCTTTTAGCATAACTATAAAACGCGAATTCAAATTATAATATCTTCATATAAAATTCGCATATTTATCGAGTACTTCTTCAAACTCTACGGTAAATTTAAATAGAAATCAAGGAATGATAATATATTTCCATCAACATATTCACAGCCTTTTGGTTTATTCATTTTAAAACAGCTTCTCACTGAATCTGACGAAATATGAAGGGGTTTTCAGCAATAGTGTTGATGGTAATAATATCAATGAATGCCAATGTTAAAGCAGCATGCTGCAATGATTTCTTTCCCTCTTAGAATATTTTGTTTTTATCGTAATGAACAACACATTCCACCATTAGAGTCATACTGAACGAAGCACTTATTTATTAACAAGTAATGCTCATCAGCCGACTCTTTTCTGAAAGAATTCTCCTAATGCTGAACACGTTCAAACGTTTTGAAAAGCAAATAACGCAGGACAGCACATATCTTTTCCACCTTAATATGTCCAGTTCCCGACAGAACCGGCCGGCACAAAAATTAGCTAAATTGTTATCAGATACTCAACCGATCGGATCCCAGAATCTCGATGCCCGCCCTAAAATTTGATCTGGCAATTTCGGATGAGGAAGGGTTAACTGAGAAAAAAGAGTGGAAACTTGACGGAAAGCTCCTGTCGGTTCTGGATCCGGGCACTTCCGCACCGGATTTTTGTGACGTGGGTATGGATCTATACACTAGTTAATTTTTTTATGAGTATTTTTCATTGCCAATAAACATATTTTTCATCTAACATAATTCTTCACTAATTCGTCATTTTTTCCTTCAACGCTAGCAGAGCGAATCAAAGTTGTACGCTCAATGGGCTCGTTTTTATGGACGAGAGCTACATCTTTTTTAATGAAATACATATGCTTGTTGATCTACCAATTGAGGTATCAGATGAATCATTAAAAAAAAGGAGAATTGTTATGATGCACTTTTTGTTCTAGTAGTGTGCAGGTGAATGCTATGCCGTATCCAGATAATGTCCCATTCATACCTGGACTTGATCTATGTGAACGATTTTTCTTCGATCTTGTTAAACCATTACTTGACAAAGACTATCCATCACTCGAATATGTAGCTTGTCGACTTGGAGAAGGTTCTGATGTGCTTGGTTTCGATACGAATCAATCTCGGGACCATGATTGGGGACCGAAATTCGATCTTCTCCTCGAAGATGAACAGCATATCGACGAATTAAACACATTCTTCAGCAAACACCTACGTGGAAAATCTATTTGTGGCTATTCCACACAATTTCAACGATTCACGGAACAAGACGGGGCTACTACTCTGGTCAATACTCCAGATGATGATGAAAGTACTTGTCATGGTATTCGTATTATGACAATGAAACAATTCTTTGTCAGCTATCTTAATTGGCAAATTGGAACTGGCGAGCCAACGCTTGAAGATTGGTTAACATTTCCAAGTCAGCATCTATTGACTATCGTTCGAGGTCGTGTTTTTCATGATTGCAGCCGTTTGAATATAGCTCGCATTCGAACACAACTGGCTTACTATCCGAAAGACATTTGGTTATATTTAATCGGCTGCTGTTGGCAGCGTATAGGTCAAGAAGAACATTTAATGTGTCGTGCTGGACAAGCCGAAGACGAACTCGGTTCAGCCATCATTGCCAGCCGATTGATACGCGATGTCATGCGACTTACTTTTCTCTTAGAAAAACAGTACTGTCCATATGCAAAATGGCTTGGTACTGCATTTCGACGATGTACTACACATGGTTCATCGCTGGAACCCATACTACAACAGGTACAACTAGCACAAACGTGGCAAGAACGTGAACAGTATATCAATCAGGCCTATGAGCGATTGGCACTGCTAACTAAAGAAAAACTATCGGATATAATTGATTCAACGAAATATTCGATTCCTAGTGAAAGAAGTCAATTTCATGGTCGACCATTCTACGTAATAAATGGAGGTGCAATTGCTGATATCATATTTGCTCAGATCGAAAATGCTCAAATTCGACAATTACCACGAATTGGTAGTACTGATTTATTTATCGACAATACCGATGCAATGCTTTCTGAATTACGTTTGAAAATGAAACGAATCTTTCAATAAAAAAAAAGTTTATTCTTCTTCATTGTCATTTTGTACGTCTTCGTTCGACGCCATGATCGCAGCGGCTTCGGCAGTTGCAGCACGATCGATCTCGTCGATTTCATCAGGCACATTAGGTAATTTCGCCTGTTTATCCTTTATCCATGTCGGATAATTCAAACATGCATTATGAGTCAATTTTACATACATTGGAACACCAAACTAAATTGGAGAACGATTGACTATTTTGATAGAGAGAAAACTCGGAAACGAACTTTTGCAGCCCAACTCCATAGAGCTTTGGGAATATTTCCACGTGGATCTTCGTAATAGACAAAAACCGCTAGAAAAGAAAGAAATAATTTGCACACATTCTTAGATTAAAACCCGGCTTTGACTGGACATACATTTCAGGCCTTTATCTCCATCCGAACAGAGTACTGTTTGCGTTTGACAAGTTTCAATACGCACAACCTTTTTCTTCGGTGGCACGTTTTTGAATGGTTCACAACGTGTCATAGCATAGTAGAAATGTCGAGTATCAACATCATATTCGCCATATTCTCTAACATACGTGTACTATTCAAGCGAATAAAAGATAACCAAGGAAAATCAACGAGCAAGACAAACGTACATCTCGATTATCTATAAATAACGGCATGATGATTTCCCAATGAATGCCTTCCTTTTCTCCATCATTGATCACTCTTGCTTCTATATAAAATGAACCATTTCAAATTTATGTCACATCCAAGAACAACGATTTACCTTTCAGATATTTATCCCATACCAGACGATATTCGATGTCCAATGCCACTCGATAGAAAACCTCCGGCGTAACATCAGGAATATGAGAGTAACATTTATATCGTATTGCTTTCTAAAAGAGAATTATAGAGAAAGTTCTTTTTTTTATCAGTTCGTTCGACGTGAATTTACCGTGGCTTCATCTATTCGTCGGTATACTTTGACTTCCGAAGTTTGTGCAAATAATTTCCATCCGTCTAACTTCGGTTGATCCAACTCTTGAACAAGCTCATCAATACTCCAAAGCGGCTCCATTTACTCCAGTAAAATAATCTCTAGAAAGACACGCCGAAAAAAACAACGAACACTTCTTTTGTCTTTTTCTTATCTCAGATTTTTTGTTCTGTTCACATTGTTGTGCTTCTATCGTCATATTCGACGTTAAACAACAATATCGCCACTCATTATCGATAGAACAAACACACTCTGCTCTTGTTTGTATGTTGAGTCATGAAAGTTCTAAGACAAAAGTAAGTACGAAAAAAGAAAAATATCTGGCGTGCTTTGTTTATGGAAATCAAATGTGACCTTCCCTCGATTTCCGTAGTTTAGCTAATCAAAGTGAAGGCCAATCGATTATTGAGCCAAATAAATACGAAATGAAAGGAAACGTTCATCTTAACTCTTCAGATTGATAATCATCCGTTTACTAACAAATTGCGGTCTGCAACGAGCAATCGTCAAGAGATTATCGAATGATTCAAAGTTCAGTGTGTGCATATCATAATTTGCAAATCAATGCAAATGTATTTCCAGGAAATGTCTTCCTTCTAGACTAGACATTAACCATAATCCATTCTATTGACATAATCGCTCTAAATAGTCTGCTATTTGTTATATGATTTTGATTTGATGATATATGTCTGAAAATCTTTGCCCATATCACAAAATGATCCTAACCTTCGGACTGTAATTTGCAATCTCGATGCGAAATTGATTATCGATTACATTCGAAAACAATAATACTTTTTAATAAGACCATGACCTTATTCTACTCAACACTTCGATGTTTTCCAATCGATCGGAGTTTTCCTATGTACTGGGAAATACATTTTTTCATTTCTCAACTTTCATAGCATCTTGTCGGCATTGTCATCCAGGCTTATTCTTCTTTTGTATTCTTGGCAATGTCATTAGATTCGCTAATGATGGGTTTTTCCCATTGTCAATATTTGATCGAAGGAAAGATTAGAAGACTATTCATGTTACTCGAACTTTATTGATGAATTCAAATCTACGTCGATTTTTCGATGGATCATTAGTGAGATACAGAAATTTGTATCGTATTATTCATATCTACACTCATCGTTCTGTTCTTCCTAAATACTGAATGTATCAATTTTCTGACTGTTTGTCATCATTATCGTTGAGTCTGTTTTCTTTTCCTTCTTCTTCGTACGCAGACAACAAATTCAGTCTGCTTTATTTCTAATTGAAAGTCAAGTCAATTGAGATAGTACACTAGAGGAGAATATCCATTCAGGTTCCTTTTCTTCTTTTTTTCTGTGTCCTTGAAAAAGCACAACCAATATTCATTGAAAGCAAAAAAAAAACAAGTTCCGTTTTTTTATTATTCAAGTATCGTCTAGTGTATTGAAGCCGTAAGTATTTCGTCAAATAGACTAAACCGAGTTCGGAATATTTTGCATATCACATCACGTAATCGAACGAAAATATTTGAATAATTTTTGATAGATATGGCAATTTTCTCTGATCAAGTGAAAACACATTAGTCGTCTGTGGCATAAGTCAAGCAACTATCATATCATATTGAAGCTATTATACCCAGAATATTCTCTCATTTACATCTACTGTTACTAACAACATGTAGCTGTTATCAACGATCCGATAAGAATGAAGATGACTAAAAAATGGTGAAGATTTGAATGTCTTATTTTCTGTTTGACACATCATGAATTGTCGTCGTCAAATTGAAATCACCTTTTGGCAATTGTGTTTTCTAATATGTCTTTGTATTCTTTGTGTTATAACCGCATTATTCGGCTGGTTTCGTCCGATCTATACAAATGAATATCAACGGCTCGCGCATAGAGCTCCGATTAGAATAAACAACGTCACAGCAAATGTAGATATACGTCGATCATTGCTATCATATTTGAATGATATTGGCTCACCACCTAAGCTCAATAATCCACAATCCTATGTACAATGGACATTTCTTCAAATGAATGATGTTTACGAATTGATACCGCTCGGTGGTGGTAAGAAAGGTGGCTTAGCTCGTGTGGCAACTCTCCGAAAATTACTCTTGCAAGAAAATCCGAACACAATTACGGTTCTATCCGGTGATGTCGTTAGTCCATCAGCTTTAGGTAATAGTATTGTTAATGGATCGATGTTAAATGGAAAGCAGATGATCGCTGCGTTCAATACACTGGGTCTTGATTATGCTACACTAGGTAATCATGAATTCGACTTGCGAGTGGATTCCTTACGACGTCGTTTGAACGAATCGAAGTTCGAATGGATAGCATCGAATGTCTACGAACGTAATACAACTGTACCATTTCATAATGTTTTACCATATAAAATTATTACAATATCGAATGTGAAGATTCTTCTAATTGGTTTAACAATTGATGATAATATGGGTCCGGTACAAACAGGACCTTATGTAACGATTACGCCACAACGGACGTTACCAGAGTTCACACGTCAATATATAAAACATCTTCGCGAAAAGTTAAGATTAAAATGGGATGTACTGGTTTGTTTAACTCATTTAAATATGCAAAATGACATAGAAGTTGTCGAATCTAATCTCGATATCGATGTAGTCATGGGCGGACATGAGCATGAGAATTATTATTTAAAACGTGGATCAAAGTATACACCAATCTATAAGGCGGATGATAATGCATTTACAGTTTTTATCCATCGATTCGCATATCAACCAAAAACGAAACAACTGTTGATCTTTTCGAAGTTAACACAAGTCTCACCACGATTTCACGATGAACCAGAAACAGCCAGAGTTGCGAACTATTTCTATGAAGCTGGTTTACAAGCGTATCGAGATGATGGTAAGATCGAAAGCTTCTTTCACGTGAATCATGTTTGTTTCTCTTCAGGTTACGTTCCTGAACGAGTCATATGTGTATTACCAGAGGGTCTCAATTTCGACGGTCGTTCGGCGGTGATACGTTCTCAACAAACACATCTAACACGTGCATTGTGCAATGCAATGATAGATGTGGCAAATACGACAATATGTGTTTTCAATGCAGGTGCTATTCGTCTGGACGATCAAATCATGGGTACAATAACTCAATACGACATTTTACGTTGTTTACCATTTCCAACGAACATTATCTCGGTACGTGTGAATGGTGTAACATTGGTGAAAGCGTTGAATCGTGGCTTGATGAATATCAATACGGGAATGTTTATATCTTATACCGGTTTAGAATATGATGCTGTGTTAGAGAAATGGTTTCTTCATCCACATCGTCAACCGCTTGATAATGAAAATCTGATTTTAACAATTGCTACAATACCTTATTTTATTCAGAATACCGAATTAAAACATGCATACGACCATGTCGCTACGTATAAAACCATGACGCGTGCTTTTATTGACTATTTGGAGAAGATATATGTGAAGAAAATACATTCTCATGCATGATAAAATTCACATATGAAGAATGTGAACTGTATTTTCGTAATCAATATGTGTAAATCAACGACTGGAAATACAGAAAAGTTGATGTTATTACACTTTTTATTTGCTTTAACACATGGCGTTCGTTTTGTTTTCGTATGATAAAATTCAATTTATGTGTGTTCATTTGCTTTTATACTCTGAGTGATTTCATTTTCATAATATAGATTAGCATGATTAGATTTGACCGAATTTAGTTGTACTATGCATCTCAAACGATTTACTTATTGGGAAAGTGGAGTGACCACAAAGGCACATTCCATTAGTTTATTTTTATCTCTGCGAAAAAAGACTAGATTTTAATCTGAGCAGCCATAGAACGAGCGAATCTCAGCAATATCAATTGCGCTAAGACGATCTCGTTGACCAATTCTTGCACCTGGTTGTTTTGGAGTCATTGTTGGTTGTCCATTGCTACTGAAATAATTGGTACCATAATGCATGATACTATCATAGTCGTAGGTTGTATTTTGATTCAATACCATGTTACCCCATCGATATTTGTTGAAGTTATGTTCCTAGAGATAAAGAT